CGGGGGATTAGCCGGGCGGCGACCGGGGAGGGCGCCCGGCGGCTGCGCGCCCGGGAAGCCCTTCTTCCTGCTGCGGGCGCGGCCCCGCTGGGACGGGCTGGAAGGGGCCGGGGCAGCGTCGGCCCGCAGGGCCCCGAAGCCCTGACCGGCAGGCGCGCTGGGAGAGCCGCCAGGCCCACGGCCCCCTCAGCCCACCCGCCGTGGGTTGGCATCGGGGAGGGGGCTGCCCACGCATGCCTCCGCTCGCAGACGCGGTGGAAGCCTCCCCGAGGCCTGGCCTCGACCCAGGTCTCCAGCGAGTGTCCCAGGGAAGGGGCTCGCCCCACCGGCCTCGCAGCCCCCACCTAGAGTAACAGCAAGGCCTCCCAAGACAAGGCACGTCGGTCGGGAGCGGTTCTGCTGTTGGGGTCACAGGGGGCTTCAGGCGTCACGGCCTGCTTGATAAGGAGGGCAGGGCTCAGCTCATGCAAGTCGGGTGCCATTCAGGTTTTCCCACCGCCCGTCCTGGTTTGCACCAGCCGCTGTAGGGTCGTGACGGCAGAGGGACCCCCGCGTGACCCCCTTCTCCAGCGGTGCAAGGAGGCGAGGCCGCGGAAGATGGTGGGGTGGGCAGGAGATCACAAAACCTGAGGGGAAGGGGCCTCCGGAGGTGGCCGGCCCATCCCTGCCGCAGCTCGGCCAGCTCGAGGGTCGGGCCAGGGCCTTGCCCAGCCTAGCGCTGCCGTGCACGGCTTGTGGATGCCAGATTTAGGTTACGGCTCAGAGGCTGGAAAGCCGGCCATCCTCTCCTAGTATTTTAGGATAGTATCCTGTAGTCTGAGCCAAAAAAATCCTACGGAATTAATGAAAAATTGTCATAAGGGATGGGCTTCTCTTTATAATAAATCAGTCAATCAGCAGCAAAACACACAACAAGAAGTCTGAATATGACAGTGACAGCCATGTTGTAAATACAACAAAACCTCCCAACAGCAAGAAAATACTGAATTTATGCAAAGTAAGAATTCCTATCTTGGAATTATTAAGGATAAATCTATCACTGAAATCCAAATGCAACCCAAGGGAAACCAATAAAGCTGTCTGTACTAAGAAAAGTGCTACAGCTTTGTGCCCAAGTATTTTGCATAGAACTATCGGTTGTACAACACCCTGATACAGCACTAAGAGAACATTCCTTTCAGAAATATGAGTAAAGCATTGAAGGGAATGAAAATATTTTTGGTGTCACTTGTAGTTCATGAGCAGCGTAGACTGATGTAAGCATCCAAAGGCTGTAATCTCTGCTATAAGTATCTGTGTATTTAGTTTTGTATTAAATTATTTGTGCAGTAAATGATTGGAAGTTCCTTTTTGACTAAAGACACTGGTTGAAACTGGAGGCTCAAAATTTCCATGAGAAGTAAATCAGTAAAGTAGAAAGAAAAGAAGTACATTGAAGAAGCAAACTTGAAATAAGAAATTAGCTTGCAAAAGTGCTTTGAGAATGTCGCTACATAAAAATAAAATAAAAATAGATCCAGTCGGATCAAGATGAAAGGACTAGATTTTAATCTTATTAACAGTGCAGCATGCAACAGAGCTATTCATTTTGCTAAAGCTACTCTTGTGTCACTGAGCCAAGAATCTAGTCCTAAATTAAAACAGCAGCAGTAGTCTGTAGCTATTCAATATTAATATTCCAACCGAGTCTGTTTCTCTGGATAATTTCAACTAAGTAGAAATAGAAACACTTAAGTAACAGTAGAGAAAATAAGCATGCAAAATTCAGTTTGCAAAAAATGTAACGCATCCCATACTGCCTCACTGCAGAGACGGGGTGACAGCCACCATGGGGGTGAAAAGCAACACTGAGGTGCAAAGCACTTTCCCCAGCATCACAGATGTCCATTAAGCTGGGCGCTGCTGGTCCTTCTCTGCTGTGGGCACCCGAAGGAGCC